AACCATGGGTTTTCTTTACATGTTATTGTTTGTTACTTTCCTCTTTCCAATTCTATGGCTGCTTTAATTATGTTATTTTTGAGTGTTTTCCAGCTTTCCTCGATGTTATCGTTCTCTAATATTATATATTAGATAGGCAGAAGGTCATGTTTATCGAATACACATAACTACAACAAATACCTCAGTTTGCCTAATTGCAAAATATTGAATTTAGAACAGTTAGAGCATTTCTCCAGCCGCATTTCCACAAAACATTAAAATTTGTTTCATCGTAGTTCCAAATGTTGTTAGCTGGGACATCAACGAGTTCATTCTGCAATTTGTTAAAGTAGTCCCTTATAGTGGTTTCACTGATTTCTGCTCTCGATCGTTTGATGTTGCTTGCAAAACTTTGAGTTAGCCACGGATTTCATTTAAGGAAAGCATTTAACCAGTTTTTTTCCTGTCAAGATATTTTTAAATTGCTTAATAATTCGACCTAAATACGATCTAAATAACTTTTCACTAAACTTCGTAAATCTGTCTGATCCAATGGAAATCCGTATAAAGATTACCTACATATATGAGACGTGGAGGCGTCCTCTTCAGCTTTCGTAAAAAGTACTTACTGGCCGTCCAAATTCTATTGCAGCTTTTCTTTGAGATATAACTCCATGCCGTGTAATTTCCATAATTTCTATTACCAGCAACACGTTTGTAATTGGAGAGCATATAAAAAGGAAAAAAGGTTACCTATGTCGTTAATGCTATAAAGTTAATAAACCCTGAAGTTGTTACAAGGCTAAATTCAAATTAAAAATCAGCATTTACTTACTTCTAACTTAATATAGAACTAACGAATGATCAAAATCAGACAATCAACAAACTGGACCAAAGTCACACGAAAACCGTTAAATTCTGTAGCACCTTGCAAATAATACCCCACCTTCTTATCTCATAGTGCGTATGTTTAGACTGAAATAATGCATGGCGGTTAAGAATTCGCATATTTTCAATACGCAACAATGTAATTAATCTTACTCTTGGATTATTATCATCATTGGCTTCACAAACCATGGTGGGTCTTGGCCTGCTCAAGGATAAGTCTCCATTCTCTCCTATTCTTTGTCTTGGCTTTCCAGTTTCGTACTCCCAACATTCTCGAGTCTTCCTCCACCTAATCCTTAAATCGTGCTCTGGGTCTGCCTCTCCATTCTCCATTCTGCGATTAATAATAGATCCTCTGGTTGTTATTTCAGATTCTCTTATCGCTTTCTCTAGTGCAATATTGAATAGAAGGCATGATAGGCTGTCTTCTTATCTATGTCCTATCTGAGACTGGAACGTTCTGGAAACTCCTTTCTGTACTCTAATTTTACACTCGACTCTTGAGAGGTTCGCTTTCTTCAATTTTACTAAGTGTATTGGTATGCTCAATTCTATCATGGTCTTGTACAGTGCGTTTTTTTAACACTATCATAGGCACATCTTAAATCAACAAACAGGTGATGAGTATCAATGCCATACTCATATGTTTTTTTCAGAGCTTGCCTTATAAGCGATATTTGATCGGTCGTAGATCTTTACGAAAACCCACACTAATATTTACCTACCTATTATGTCTTCACAATATCCCGATAGTCGGTCATAAAGAATATATGCCAATATTTTGTATGTTACATTTAGGAGGGTTATTCCTCTGTAGTTGTCACATATTGTTTGATCTTCTTTCTTGTGGATATAGCTACAATTATACCTACATTCCAGTCTTCTGGCAACTTTATTTGCTTCAGATCAGTTCTACTACTCTACATATACAGTATGTCAGGTTTTTTTGCCATGCTTTAAAAGTTCTGAAGGAATGCCATCATCCCCAGGAGCTTTGTTTTCTGTCAGTTTCTGTATAGCTTGGATAACTTCTACCTCTGTTAGGATGTTATCTTTCTCTCTTTTATTGTCAATGTCCTCGAGTTGGGTTTCTGATTCGTGGAGCCCTGTCTCACCTCTTATATTTATCCTCTGCTCATCTTTCTATTGATATATAATCTAACGATTGATAATCTAGGTTTGAATTATTTCTTGTTCTGGTTAATATTTTTGTAAAATTGTCGCGTTTCTGCTTGTGCCTTATAGTTGGCTCTTTATAGGCTCTTTCTTTTTTTTTAAGTATTCGTTTTTCTTCTTGTCTTAGCTGCCTATACTCTTCCTGTTTGTCTCTTTCTTCGCCCTTAAGGTCTTCTATATGCCTGATTTTTTTCTTTGCGTTGCTTGTGCTCATTCCTCATCGTACCAGTCTGACCTTATTTTTTTTTATGTTTTTGCTTTCCGATAACTTCAGTTGCCACTTCTTTCAATATGGCTCTTCACTGCCTCCAATAGTTGTTAATATCTTCAACTATAACATCCGTGCAGCTTGCTTTCGAGACTTTTCTCGAATCTCTTAGCTAACTCAGGGTTCTTCAACGCTTCTACTTTAAACCTTTCCTCTTTTTCCTTTTTTTTTTTTTCTTTACATTTTTAAACAGTTTCTTTACAGTTTTTTTCTTAATATAACAAGTATTTCCTTAATTTATTAAAATTTTCCTACAGATCATATGGTACTGAGAGTGCGGTATAATGAAATTTACTTGATTATATACTTTACAAACGCCCCAGTTACTAAATTATCTTTCTCCCAAAATGGCCAAAGTCACCAAAAATTAAGGTACTTGATTTACTTGACGCAATTTCATACCCATCGTATTGTTGAAACCATGACCTATCTTAATTATGTATAAACAACATAAAACATGTTATGCTTTGCTTTATCTGTATTTTACGTACTCTGTCAATACCAAACAATATATATATATATATATATATATATATATATATATATTATATATATATATATATATATATATATATATATATAATATATATATATATATGTAATATATATAGCGAGTGTTTGCAACTTTAATTTTGTCGCTTCTCGCATCCCAATCGCCATAATTTCTTATCGGCCCAGTCTCCTTCTTGAAGACCTCTATTTTCCATTTCTATATGAATATTGGATATCCATTTCTTTCTTGGCCTTCCCCTTTTATTTCTCTGTGTAGGTCTCCAGTTCCAAACCTTTCGTGGTATCCTTTCTTCTTTCATCCGTCTCAGGTGTCCATACCATTTTAATTGTTTTTCGGCTATCGCATCCATTATTGTGTTCTTTACTTTCATTCTCTCTCTTATGTTTTCATTTCTTATGTGGTCAAACAAAGTTAACCCGGAACATCTTCTCCAGTACATCATTTCCGTTGAGAGGAGTTTTTGTGACATATTATTGTTAAAGACCCACACTTCTGACCCATACATCAGCACCGGCTGAATCATAGCCTGATATATATTTTTCTTTGTTTTCTTAGTTACAGTTTTATTCCACAGGATCGGATGTAGTGTTTTTATCATGTTTTTTCCTTTTCCTATTTTTCTTGTTATATCTTTGTCGTCTCTCCCGTCTTCGCTTAGTGTAACTCCGAGATATTCGTACTGATCAACGTTTTTAATTAATCCGCTTTCTGTTTCCATGTCTTGACCGATGCCTCCTATATTCATGTATTGTGTCTTTTCGGTATTAACCTCTAATCCCCATTTTTTGAATTCGTCTATTAGTTTGTTTATCATGTACGTCATATCTTGTAGGTCCTCGGCAAGAACTACCTGGTCGTCTGCGAAGAGGATTGTGTATATAGGAGTGTCATTTACCCATATGCCCATTGGGCTGCATTTTCTCATCCAATGTTTTAAAGCATTACCAAGATATATTTTAAATAGGGTTGGGGAGAGGCAAAAGCCCTGTTTGACACCCTTTGTTTGGGTGAAACCCTTGGAAATTTGGTTTCCAACCTTAATATAAGCTTGGTTATCTTGATATAGCTTTTTCACGGCATTTATATATACTGCATTTATACCAGCGTTTTCCAATGTTGTCCATAGTCTCTGCAGTGGTACGGAGTCAAACGCTTTACGGAGATCTATAAAAGTGGCATGAAGTTCTAGTCCTCTTGCTAATCTCTTTTCCGTTAGGTGTTTGAGAGTAAATACATTGTCGACACAAGATCTTCCTGGTCGGAATCCACTTTGTTCTTCGATCTCTGTGGCTTCTTTTTCTATTCTCACTTTCAGAACTCTTTCATACAGTTTGCCAGTGGATGACGTAATGCTGATACCTCGGTAATTACTGCAGTCATTCCTGTTTCCTTTTTTGTAGATGGAGTTTATGTACGAGACTTTCCAATCTCTTGGGATACTTTCTCCTTGTAGGAGAAGTTACACTTTGTAAAATGTTTAACAAGTGCCTACAATACCAAACAATAAAACCTAATTTCTTTAACAATATCTGGACTGTGGGTTTCATATTTGAATATAATATTAAGCAATTCGATGTTCAAAAAGTTCAAAATATTTGTTATTATTTTCTTAAGTTAAGGTTATAAAATCAGTTAGTATTAGGAACCTCTATAAATTTTACTGAACTATTATTCCGACACAAGATCGAAGAGACTGTCCTACCCGAATTTATAATAAGCACATAGGCCCTATATGGCCCATAATAGCGTACGACTTCGACTTTTTGGTCTCTAAATCATCCCGATCTATGAATAAATATTAAAATTCGAAGTTTTTTGATTTTATGCGAGAGATAAAAGGTTTATCGACGTCGTACAACGTTGTAATTAAGAAATTTCGAGCAGCATAAAATTATAGGTATTGTTCTGTATACGCGTCTATGTCGGGCGACGGGGCTCACATTTGTCTACGACTTCTGAGATGCTGTAAGGGCCTAACCCGAGGGGTCTCCGCCTACATCTTTATTTATTGTTGAAGTGTAAAACTATTTTTATGCGTAGATTTATTTACTACAAAGCAGATTATTGGATTTTAAAGGAAACTTTTCAACTCCAAATAAACATCAATTTTTGGTTTGATTGGTTAATATTTTTAAAGTATAAGCAGTCTTTGTAATAAAATAAATAGGAGGACAAAAAATGAAAAATGGAGGACATCGAAAATAGAATAGAATAGAAATATGCTTTATTGTCAGTGAAAATTATACAATTTTATGGACAAAGCTTATAAAAGCTAAAAAAAAGGAATAATAACAATAAAAATTAAAGGGGCTCTGCCAAGGGCGACCTACCTTTCCCTAGCTACTAGTGGGAACAACATAAATACACAAAACAAAAAAAATCCAAAACCAAATTTCGAAGCTGGACCAAAACGTTCACCTCAGTCTAAAGCCGCAGTTGAGGATGGACAGCAATGTTCACCTCTAATCTCAGCCCAACCGGAGGTTGCACCAAAACGTTCACCTCAGTCTGAAGCCGGAGCTCCGAACAGTAATGTTTACCTCAAGTTTCGGCCCAAGTGGAGGATGGACAAGAAACACCTTAGAAAAGTCGGCCTAAACGCCGCAAAGAATTTGCGGTGCCGAGACAAAAAGAAGGAGGAAGGCTAGAGAGGCAATGGGAAAAGCACCCATGCTCATACCACTCCAGTCTCTCCCAAAACAAAGGTGAGGGTGCCCACATCGGAGGCTGACAACGGTTCCACCTCCAAAAGAGGACATGAACCAATAGCCCCCGTTGTGAAGCGCCTTCATCCAAGTACCTCCACAGAGGGCACTCCGAGAAAGAAGTCACAAAGTGGTGGAAATGCCACTGCACATTCTAAAACTTTCGCGGAAGCCGCCTTAAGACATCTTAAGGTCGCTATTATAGATAAGGTAAACCCGTATGGAAAGGTGACTGCTAACCGGGCAAACCTTATTAAATGCAGCCTGATGGAGGAATTGGACAGAACAATCTTGTCCATTTCCAGCAGACAGGTAAAAGCACCCACGTTCAAATCGTAGACTTACTCGGGTGAGATCATCAGAGTAGCCTGTGATGACGCTTGCATGGCTGAAAAAGGCTACAGCTGATCTAAAACCATGGAAGGAAACATCACTGGCTGTGATCAGCCAGGATAAGCTCCAAAGCCTCTCTTTGGATCCCGGAGTATGCTAATAGCACCCTAATCACCCAGAAAGAGTGCTGCGGAGGTTAATGGCGCAAAATCTATACATGGCAGTTGAAAGATGGTTCACCTTCCACCATGAGGTAAAAAAAGATCCTAAAGGACACCTGTTTGTCTTCTGAATCGGAGACAATGACATGGCTGTCCTTAGGAAAAGGGCAATGAGGCTGAGCTACACGTTCACCTCATTGACTCAACAAAGCAATCACCAACAAAGTGAAGGACTTCCTCGGAACCAGGAACCTCAGACACTTGACAGCCGACGTCGGTTGCTGAGACTGAGACACCCCTAATCCCACAGCAGGGAGAAGATCATCAGATAATGGTCGACGAACTCTGCAGAAGAGGCTCCTAAACGAGTAAGGCTGTCCCTTCCTCAACCGAGGAGGAAATTGGCACCTAAAACAACCAAAACGATACCTAAGCCATGGGCAAGGACATCGAAAAAAATAATAGCACTAATCCAAGAACCTTGGATAATTAAAACAAAAATAACTAGTCTTAGCAGTCTAAATGGTCAAATGTTCAGCTTACCAAGCTATCTACAACCGAAAACAAATATATGGTTTTGCTGATCAGGTGATCTACCATCTTTAGCCTAAATTTTAAAATGTATTTTGTCCATGATTTTATAGTTTTTATATTTTAATGTGTATTATAAATGTTAAGTGTCAATGCTTTTACAAATAATCTCAACGACTATGTCTTGAAAAAGGAATAAAACCATTCCGAAAGCTAGACAAAAAGTCAAAAGAGTGTTTTCTTGAACATCCCAGCCAATATTCTGACTGCATCCCTAATAAACTGTGTTATTTGTTGATATCGACAGTCATATATATATATATATATATATATATTATATATATATATATATATATTATATATATATATATATATTGTTATGATTGTTTATTTTGAGTTCAAACTTAGTTTATTGAGCCAATAAAAAAGAATTATAACTTATTTGTTATCAAAAGTAAAATAATCTTTATATTACCTGTGTTCGATGGATTCAAAAGATTTTCTAGTTGTCTTTTATCGGGATAGAGAAGAAAAGGATAAGAATACAAATATATTATATTACAAAGATTTACGTTTCTTTATTTTATATGAACAAATAAAACAATTATTAAATTCTGTCGTTATCTTATCAATCAGCATACAAGAAAATAAATCAAATTATTATGATAATAAGATTATAAAACTACATACATTAATATTACGTGAAAAACCAATTTTACTTAAAATTTTCTTTACTTGAAAAAAGAAACCACAAAACTTTAAACTTTTGATTAGCCTAACAAAACCTCAGTTCTTAAATTTTAATGATAATGACCATGATGTCGAAACGATCCTTCACAGATATAAAATTCAATTGTACAAACACTTACAGTTTATTTTCTTCTTGAGTTGTATGTTGGAACATACCCAGAAAAGTCCAGTCTCCTCAAATATGTGATCTCCCCTCTTTGGCACCTCGGCTCCTTCTTTACGTCTCTGCAAACCTCCTTCAGACTACACAAAAAACACCTGATTCACTTCTCCAAACTCCGCGACTTATTTATGACACCAGGACCTCCTTTTGTCAACTTGCTGCCGTAAGAATACTTTCACATATACTTTATAAAATGCCCACGGTAGATACAAGGACCTCTTTTAATCCACTTGTTATCTCCTTCTTCAAACTATTCACTTCTTTTCGTTACGCCGGTATCCAAACTCACGAATCACACCCTATCTTGAGACAAACGACTGTTTTCTTTCGATGACCAAAATATGACTAACTTCTCCTCTCTCATGATCGACTCACCAAATTCCCATTTAAAAACGACCGTCCAATCAAAAAGCTTAAATTGTGTTTACCATGATTTTGGAAAAGCCTAATTTCGGTTTCAGAGAAAACTAAATAGGTTACTTTAAAATTGGTTTTTTTTCAATACATCCTTTATACATATTTCAAAAGATTAAAATATGTCATTTAATACTCGACTATACAAAACAATGAAAAGATTAACTTACAGGTAAAATGTCTTCTAATTCTAAACAAAGGTTTTTTTGATAATTTTGTTTGAAACGGAAAAAGGTCGTTTGCCAAACAAATTTCTATTCTTATCTACACTAAATCTTATCTTAAATTACTAAATACAATTTGTTAATACTGACATCTTAAAATTTTATTTCGATGGCTATTTTTATTTTTATTTTTCTTTGGTTGGGAAAGAAGAAACATAACAATATATATATATATATAATATATATATATATATATATATATATATATATATATATATATATATATATATATATATATAAGTATATATTTATTCATTTCGACGAACTTTGATAGGTAATTACAATATCTATGTTATTTTATCTTTGATTGTGGAAGAGACTCGACTGCCGTTTCTAATATTATTGCCGCAAGTCCACTTTATTAGCACATTTGCCTCGAGGGCCCGAAAACCGCCAGAGCAAAATTGATTTGAGAAGGTACCTACCCTTAAGTTTTGATGAAGGGGTGAATTCTAATAAACTCCCTCCGTCAAACAAAGCAAATACGTTTTGATATTCTGCATAAAATAACTGTATACTAATTTTCATTCATTGCTTTATTACCAAATGAATAAACAAGTTGAATGATGAACAATATATATAGTTCATGCTTTTTACAATTTTTTACAAATTAAAATATAATATAACGATACATAACTATCTCTACATATATCTCTATATTATTTACATCGGCAGCTATCGCCATTCGCACGGGGGCGATTACAAAACAAACAGCATTATGAGAGCTTCTGAAGTTATTTTCTTGTGGCATCTTAAAATAATTACTATTTATTAATGGGAATCAGCCACAATTAAAGTTTAAAATAACTTTATTGACGTTTCAATTTCCACTTCGGAAATCGTTCTCAAAATACAAATATTAATAAATTGAAAATAAATAATATTTATTTATAAACCATTATGGGCCCAGCGTGGTTCAAAATTTGCTTGATTGAAATGTTCAGTTTGCTCTACAAACTGTTGTTCCCAGGTGATCCTAGTTTTCAAGTCGAAAACAAGGTCGAAAACAAGCGGGTTTTCGACCAGAACGAAGCTGCGCGGACCAGGTAATGTCACTCATCACCTACATCGAAGCGGGTTGCCAAAGAAGACTTAAAACTTCAGCGGCATTTATTGATCTCTCGGCAGTTTACGATACAGTATGAAGAGAGAGTAAACTAGCACGCCTAATAGATAGCATGCTCAACGACCGATGGTTTCAAGTAGGGATTGGCACAGATATCAGCCCACCAAAGAAACTTAAGAATAACCTACCACAGGGATCAGTGCTCTCTCCACTACTATTTAGCTTATACTTAGCAGATATGCCGGAAACACAGTCAAGAAAGTTCGGATAAGCCGATGACTGGGCAATCACTACACGATGCAGAACACTAGAAATTCTGAAGAAGTTCTGACGGAAGACTTATATATATTGGGTAAATATTTTTGCAAGTGGTGACTACAACCAAATGCATCCAAAACATAAGTTAGTTGCTTTCACCTGAACAATTAACTTGCTGGAAAGGAACTCAACATACGGTTTAAAAATATCACACTTACCCACAAAAAAACACAGAAGTACATGGGCGTAACACTAGACGGAACGCTATCATTTAAAGAGCATTTAACAAAAACTGCCCAAAAGTTGACTACAAGAAATAACATTATACAGAAGCTCTGCGGTACCACCTGGGGAGCATCCGCTTGCACTCTCCGTTATCTTTAAAAAGGCTGCTCGTGATTCCTCTGTTCTTGAGCAAATTTCTGATTTCGGATTCAGATCTTTCTTAATCCAGACTCCTAAGTACTTCATTTTGTCCACTTGCTCAATATCTTCATTTTTTATCTATTTCCTTGTAATGACTTTGCCCGTCTTACTGATATCCATGGTTTTTGTTTTCTTTATGTTTTTTGTTAAACCAAACTGTTCCTCTTCTTCTTCTTACGGTGCCTATCCGTTCCGGATGTTGGCGACCAACATTGCTATCCTTACTTTGCTTGCTGCTATTCTGAATAGTCCGGTTGTCGATGTATTAAACCACTTTCTCAGGTTTTGAAGCCAAGAATAATCTCGCATTCCTTGCCTATTCTACATAGGACCTCAACATTAGTCACACGATCCACCCATGAAATTCTTAAAATAGGTCTATAACACCACATCTCGAATGCCTCGAGTTTTCTTAAAGAAGCTTCGGAAAGTGTCCAGGCCTCTACTCCGTATAATAACGTAGAAAATACATAGCATCTAATGAGAGAGATTTTGGTAGCAAGTGGTAAATCGTGACTTCTGAAAAAAAACTTCATCATTATGAACGCTGATCTCGCTTTTCCTATGCGTTGTTTTATTTCACTGGAGTGATCCCATTGGCTGTTAATATTGGTACCAAAGTATGTGTAGCTGTCCACTCTGTCAATTGAAAGTTGGTTAACCAAAAGCTGTGTCTTTAATATTTCGCGCTTACTGACTACCATGTACTTTGTTTTCTTCGTATTAAGATCAAGTCCGTGTTCTCTACTTATATCTGATATACGCGACATTATTCTTTGCAAACCGTCCAAAATATCTGCAAAAACTACTGCGTCGTCGGCATATCTAATGTTGTTTAAACGCATTCCATTGACTAATACGCCTTCTTGTAGCTCTCCTAGCGCTTGCTCGAAGATATATTCAGAGTATATATTAAACAACACCGGGGACAGAATGCATCCTTGCCTCACTCCTCTATCTATGGAGACTGCCTCTGTCAATTGGTCATCCACTTTAATATTGGCTGCTTGGTTGTAATTTAAATTATAGATGATTCTCAAGTCCCTATCATCCAACCCTTTCAAGATGTTTATCATGCTTTACTCTATCAAATCCCTTTTTGTAATCGATAAAACAAGTATACACATCACAGTTAACATCTCTGCATCTTTGTTTAAGCACTTTTATAGCGAATAGAGCTTCTCGGGTGTTTAAGGAATCACGGAATCCAAACTGCATCCATGATATTTGTTCTTCGCACGCCGTAGTGAACAGTGAACAGTGTAGTAGTGTCTGGGCGAAAGCCCTGAGGAAGGCATCAGAGAGGATGCCGAAAGCTCGGCAAAATGGATATCGACGCGGTTCAACCCGGAAGACTGGTGAGTTTGATATTAATTTTAGTAATAATATTAATCTTAGCTCTAAGTTACATATATATATATATATATATATATATATATATATATATATATATATATATATTTATATATATATATATATATATTTATATATATATATATATATATATATATATATATTATATATATATATATATATATAGTTTGAGTTTAGTTCTTGAACCTTAATATATATTTTTTAGTGGATTCTCTTGGGCTTAGGTTCATAAAAAAAAATTTTGGTTTGATACTAAGACATTTTTGTATATTTTTTTTCCGACGTTTCGGCAGGAAATCCATGCCTTTTTCAAGAATATATATTGACAAGCATGTAAAGATTCGATATTGACAATTAGACTAATTAGTAAAATTTTACTTGTAGTGACTTAGTGGGTATGTCCTATGTTTTAATATTATTTTAATTATGACGTCTAATTGTTAATATCGAATCTTTACATGCTTGTCAATATGTATTCTTGAAAAAGGCATGGATTTCCTGCCGAAACGTCGGTAAAAAAATATATAAAAATGTCCTAGTATCAAACTAAAATTTTTTTTTATGAACCTAAGCCCAAGAGAATCCACTAAAATATAATATATATATATATATATATATATATATATATATATATATATATATATATATATATATATATTACAGAAACTATGTGAATCATTAGCATATTGGTAATTTCAGTCTTTAATGTAGGCGCACATCTGACCAAAACCGATGTTATTTTTCAGTCCATTTCTATTTTGTTCTAATTAATACAACCGTTAGAGGAAAAACGATTTAAACACCTGTAATAAGCCACTCATCGCTTAACTTAACGTTTCGTAAACACAAATTTATAGTTAATGGCATCGTTTTATGATGAAACAAAGCCACGAAATTATCGGGATATAGACCTCTTCGAGTCAGTCATTCACAAAAAAAAAATCAATTTTTTTCACTCATTTGTCTTCTTATGCATATCGTCATAAAGGCTGCTCAAATTAATGCGAGGAAAACTGTAACTTATATTTTATACATAATTAGACAGGTCCGGTTAGGTTACTTTTTAGTAAAATATTTATATTTTTATAAAATATATTTCTGACAATATTTATATCAACAGAAAGTGTGAAATTACTTTATTTTTTATTTTATGATTTTTTATACGCAAATTATTAAATAGAGAAGAAAATGATTAGCTTCATCTGCCTCGTAGAGGATTTTTATAGATTTATTGATCAAATATGCAAATACTAAAGGAAACAGGAATTAACAACCAAGGTCTGAAAATAATTAGAAATCTTTACTGGAATCAGACGACAAATCTCAGAGTTGAAGGTGAACACACTGATTATGTGAAAATCATGCGTGGAGTGAGGCAAGGCTGTATTTTGTCTCCTCGAATCTTCAATCTCTACTCTGAAAGAATATTTATCGAAGCTTTGCACGAAACTCAAAAAGGTATTATACTAAATGGTTACCGGCTAAACATCATATATGCAGATGACACCATAGTATTTGCGGACAAGTTAGAGGACCTACAGTCACCAATATGAACTCAATATAAACGTTAAAAACACAAAGCTTATGATAATTAGCAAGAAAAGGATAACAGAAGGTCAACTCTACGTCAACCAATCCCCTGTAGAAAGAGTGACGCACTAGAACTGCTTCAGCACCATAATATATGAATAATGGACCAACAACCAGGAGATTAGAGCACTCATCGGAAAAGCTAGATCTACCTTCAATCGGATGAGAGCCTTCTTCAAGAGTCACCTCTCTCTTGATGCAAAAGTAAGAATGCTGCGATCCTACATCTTCTCCGTCCTTTTTTATGGTGTTGAATCGTGGACTTTGAACGAAGATATATGCATAAAACTGGAAGAATTTGAGATGTGGTTATATCGGATAATTCTTAAGATCCTGTGGACTGACCGAGTCACACATGGGGAGGTCCTCAGAAGAATGAATAAAAACCGAGAGGTACTTTAAGCTATCCTGCAAGGAAAAATATTTGGAAAAAGAGGTCAAGAAAGAAGAAGAACATCTTGGTTAAGAAACCTCAGAATCTAGTTCAATACAACATCTGTGCAGCTTTTCCACGCTGCTGCAGATACGATAAAGATTGCCATGATGATCGCCAACATTCGTAACGGATAGGCACATTAAGAAGAAGAAGAAGATTGATGAATGAATGGAACTATAACAATTTTCTCTTCCTTGCATGGCATGAGATGTGATCTTCTTCTGAGCGGAAATCTCTGCTTTAGGTAGCCATATCCTCTTTAAGGACTGGGACATTTATATACCTAAATCGACGGTGTATTAAGGTTGCCGCTGATCTGGAAACTGTACTTGGAGGTCTTTTTCTGGGCTAATGCTTTATCTAACTTGGGGAACTGCAGACTGCGTTATTGGCATTATTTCCGTTAAGGGTAACTGTAGATATTCCCTCGCCTAAGGTAGGTATCTTTGTCATTTATGAATAAAAAAACCTTTTTAAAGTATACGCAAGCAAGCTAAATTTTCTTTTTCTCTGGAAGTGAAACTATATTTAGCAGTCCTGCTAAATATAATCTATTTGGCAACATCCGATGGACCTTGTATTAAGGCAGCATATAACTGATATAGACAGATAACAGATTTTCTCTAATATAAAAACTATTTTGAATTATGGCACCTGTTAAGGGTATATGTTTTGGAAGGAAAAAGAACTTGATTTTAACTTGAGGGAACTATTCCAGAAGAGACACAGATTAAACAGAAAAGAGTATGGGGTTATCCGTTAATAAGAAGGCTTATATAGGTATATGGCATATATATATATATATATATATATATATATATAATATAATATATATATATATATATATATTATATAGGTTTTAAAACGTCTTGCGTCGTTGTCCGATGCCTAATTTTCCACGAATTTCTATCATTCCATTATTCTTCGGTCAAGTCTCGGGAGCTCATTGCCTTTGTTATTCCCTCCTTCCATGTTCTTTTTCGTCTTCCTCGTTTCTTACGATTTGGTGGTATCCATTTCATGGCGATTTTTGGTAGTCTTGTTTCTGGCATTCTTTGAACATGGCCATACCATTTGAGTTGTTTTCTTTCTATGTTTTTCTATGTCTGTTGCCAGTGATCCATCTACCCCCATCAGATTCCTTATTTCATCGTTTCTAATTCTGTCTGCCCTAGATATTCGAAGTGATCGTCTAAATACATCCATTTCTGTTGCTTCGAGTTTTCTTTTATTGCTTTCTGTTAGTCTCCATGTCTCTGTACCATAGGTTAATCTGGTTTTTATGAGAGATTCATATATATTGTATTTTCGTCTTTTACCAATATCTGAGCTCCAAAGAACTCCGTTAAGGCATCCAATTGTTCTACGGGCCTATTGTCTCTGCCTGTGGTGTCGGAATCAATTCCTAGGTAGGTTATATTCAGTGCAGAATGCAATTTCGGTTGTGTCCATCTGAATGTTGGATAGTTCTGCGCCTATTGGGAGATATTTTGTTTTTTGTGTATTGAGTTCTAAACCCCACTTTTTGTATTCTTCCTGTAGTTTTCTGGCCATATATGTCAGGTCTTCTTTATCGTTCGCTATAAGGACTTGATCGTCTGCAAACTGTAGGGTATATAGGCAAGTTTCTCCCAGGTCAATGCTCATTCCTCTGCACTTTCTCTTCCACTGATACAGTGCTTTCGCCACGTAGATTTTAAACAATGTGAGGGATATGCAACACCCCTGCCGAAGTCCCTTGTTTACAGGAAATTTTTTTGAAAGTCTATGTCCAATTTTTATTCCCGACGTTGATCCTTCATAAAGCTGTTTAAGAGCGTTAATTACTGTGTGGTTTATGTTTGTTTTCTGCAAAACTTTCCATAGCTTTTTAGCGGGTACAGTATCATAGGCCTTCTGAAGGTCTTTAAACATAAGGTGGGTTTCTTGGTTGGTACTTGATCTTTTTTCTATTATTTGTTTTAAAACAAACACATTATCGGTGCAGCTCCTTCCCGCTCTAAAGCCAGATTGTTCCTCTTCTTCCTGTTCCTTATATTCTTGTTCGACAGTGTCTCGAAGTATCCTTCCATATAGGCGACTTAAGGTACTGGTTACTGATATACCTCGATAGTTTGAGCAGTCCAATTTACTTCCCTTCTTATGTATAGATGATATTAAGGATATTTTTCACTCATGCGGGACTGGTGCACCGTTTAGATATTGGTTTATACACCAGGTTAATCGTTCAAACAGTTTGTTAGTGCCGCATTTAATTAGTTCTGCTGGAATTCCCTCCGGACCTGCAGCTCGACCATTTTTTAGTAGTTGTATGGTCTTCTATATTATGTAGCAACTTTTGGTCTAATCTGTGCTGGTATAGGTTTCTTGTGCTTTCGTTGATAAGGCTGTTTAAGTTATATCGTTTGTTCGTTATCACTTCTCTTTGTTTAGGTTCCTCATTAACGTTATTGTCATTGTTAGATATAAAAGGAAATACCATTTTTGTCCTAACACATATAGTGGTCGGAACCACACGTCGGTCCTCTAAGTACTCTTACATTATTCACTTTAAGGTAGTGCTTTGTTTGACTATTACATAGTCAATGTGTATTTGTGAATATCCTTGTGTTTATAGAAGCCGTTCATTATTCTCAGAGTATGACTTTGACACACTTGGACCAACCTTTCTCCATTGTCATTCAGGTTTATTTCACCGTATGGACCGATCACCTCACTGTTTATTCTTTGCCCGGCTATTCAGATCTCCCAGTACTATCAGTTCTCGTGACTTTCCTATGTTGGTGATTATGTCGTTCAATTTTTCGAAAAACGCGTCCTTAGCAGCAATTGATTCGTCATCTGAGATGGCATAGACTCCAAAAATTGTCACTGCCAATGTTTACGGTACAAGAAAGTTTATAACATACAAAATTTATAATGTGGACCAAAGCGGAATCACTGTGGTAAATTACAAAGTGGCGACAATAATCGGCATGAAGGGGAAAAACAAATAGATGCTTGGAATTCACGAAATAGGGGAGCTCTTGTAACTATTGTCTTCTGTATGAATGCTGCTTGTTCTTTTGTATCTCCTCTAGTAATTTTTCTGTGAAAAAACATGAGTGAGCAATTGAAAAAAGATGGCCCGGGACGATATTTGGAGTGCATCCTTCTGTTTGGATAAAATTTAATCTTTTTACCCAATGGTTTCAACATTTCATAGACTTATGTTATCCTACAGAGGAAAAGCCAGCATTCCTCATTTTGGATGGGAACTTTAGCCATACATCGCCTTTGGATAAAATGTTTATGAGTCCTTTTAAAACTTACTACAGTGAACAAGTCAGACTGTAACTGGGAAGAGATGTGGCTAGGAAGAATAATCGTCTCTAGGATAATCCGAGCATTGTCCTTTAGAAAAACAAGAAAGAATGCCTTTGAAGAAATTGAGGTGGGGATATCAAAGAAGCAATGACATTAAATAACAGCTTTATAAATAAATACATAAATAACAGGACACGTGAAAGGCAATAATTTAAAGATATACATATACAAAGTTAAAACTGAAAATTAGACATTATATTTACTTTAAAGAGAACAACAATTCTTACACCTGTCCTGTATGCGCATACTTCAAGGCGTATCGTTAGCGATGATCTCTTGTATTCCTTGCCTTGGTCTCCAAGAAGTTTAAGTCCAGGCAAGCCGAGCACTTGACCACGTGTATAATTAGTTATGGTAATGTCCGCTGGGCGGCGAGGGCGAAGCCCTAATGAAGGGGCCCGATCACGAGAGACTCGCACAGGCCTCCGGCAAAGAAGCACACGCACGCGATATGCTGGATTGCGGGATCATATTTGGTCTTCGTTACTATCCTTTTTGAAAATTTTTGGGAAGACAGTTCTATGTCAACCAAAGTACAGAAAGAAATAAGCTATGACACTCGTTAAGAGGAGATCCAAGTATAGCTCTAAAGAAAATTGCATGCATATTTATATTATTAGAAAAAAACATTTTTTTGTAGATTTCTTAAGTCAAATCACCAAAATACGACTAAAAGAAGGAATTAAATAATAAATCAAGAAATTTTTTCTCTCATCTACCTGTTGTAAATGGAACTTGACATGGCTAAAGATTTTTTGTTAGCACTTTGTCGTTTAACACCACAATGATAACTGGTAGGTATGGTAAGATCTCCATTTTTCACAATTTTTCTATTTTTTCATTTAAAAATATTTTTGAAGTATTTTTTTTTTTCATTAGGTTAGTGTTCTTGATTCTATTTATTATTGAAGCGAAGCTTATATACTGCCATTGTATTACTTTTTTCTTTACAGTAAAATGCCAAGGTGAGTGCCACGGGAAGGCGTCACGGGTACCGTCACGATAGCGGTTCTCCACATCGATTCACTACT